GCATGAGGTGGGTCGTAGCGGGACGGATCAGGGACCTCCCCTCTCCTCCTCCTGCCCCATAGGAGTACCTGGCCCAAAGTCAACGGTGGCATAGAGCCCCCGCAGCGTGCCGCAGCGCAGCTCCTGCACCCGCGCGTCGTCGGTGGTGAAGAGCAGCACCTCGTGCCCCAGCAGTGCCCGAAAGGAGCCCGGCAGGTGCCGCAGGTACCCGGCGTCGCAGGCGTAGTAGCTCCCGTATTCGTTCTCCACCTGCGAGCAGGGCGGGGGCCGGCACCCAGCGTGCACATTGCAGGGCTGCAGCCACGGCCCACTGCCCGCGGGGACGAGCGCCCAGCTCTCCCCTTCCCTCCTGACGTCGTCAGATGTTGTGCCAGCCCCCAGGTGAGTCCCGAGAATGACCTGCCAGCCTCACCAAGACCCCCAGCTCTGCCAGTGCTGCTCAAATCACAGCTGGGGTGGTGGTGGGTACCCCAGTGTTCCAGCCCTTGGGTTTAAACCCAGGTCCAGCAGTCGGAAGGGATTTATCGAAGAGCTGTACTGGATGAGGTCATGGTGCAGCGGGTCCAGGTAGCTTTTTGGAGCACAAGCAAAGATGACTCAGAGGAGGGCAGGGGTCCAGGTCCCACAGCGTCCTACCTGCACACTGATGATGTTCCCCCCATGCTGGTACAGCCGTGGCTTGATCTTGGGTAGCAGGACATGGAGCCAGGAGTCCACAGCTGCCAAGTAAGCTGGGGGGCCATAGGGCAGCTCAGCCTGGCTGCAGTATGCCCCTAGCCCACCCACAGCCAGCCCTGCTAGAAGGAGGATGGAGCAGACAGGGCAGGGCTGAGCATGATGGGTAAGTGGGGGTGGACAAACTGTGGGGCTCCCAAAAGGTCAAGAAGAGAAGGGAAGAAACCACACATGTGGGGCTGGCAGGTGCGTGGAGAGAGACCAGCATGCCAGGACTGGCATTGGGCTATAAGGACACAGTGGCCAGAGCCCTGTGCTGAGGCTCACCAGGGTCAGAGGAGCGCAGGACGATGTCAGGTTTCCACAGCAGCCAGGCGGGCAAGCCACCCTGGAGAAACATGCACAGCAGAGTGGGAGGCAGAGAAAAAACTCAGCAGTCCAGGCTGGCACACAGCTGAAACCCAGCCAGCACACTGCTAGTGCCCGGCGCTGGAGCAGCATGTGGCCCATGTAGCAGCAGCCTGTGCATGGCTGGCATGGTACCACAGTCCACATGCCAGCCAGAAGGGACAACCCCACTGTGCCCTTTCTGGAACACCCATCACCCCCATGTGCCAGGCTGGGGGGCTGGGGCTCACCATCTCCCACTCCGCACAGATGTAGGGCCCTGGCCGCAGGATCACCAGAAGCCCCAGTTCAGCTGTGAGGTCCAGGAAAGCTTCCACATCTCGGTCCCCAGTAAAGTCATAAACCCCTGGCAGCGGCTCATGGT